CGAGCCTGGGCCTGAGACAGAGGGATGAGCTCGGGGAGTGAGGCAAGTGCAGGAGCTGCAGCAAGGCCAGCTGGAATTCAAGTACCTTATTTTCCAATTAAACTTGCACCTTAGAAGGGCAAAGGCTTGGCACTGCAGGGGCCCATGGAAGCCTGTGCCAAGCGACACAGAGCTGGCTGCCACCGGGGCTGCCCACACGCTGACCCATCAGCCCTGCTCGCTGTCCCCCTGGCCGTGCAGGGATACTGACCTTCAGGGTGTACTTGTAGCACTGCTCTGCCTCCAGCTGCCGTCCTCCCTGCAAAACAGCCCCAGAGCAGCCACTGAGGAAACAGGCAGAGGAAAGGGGTGCTCAGCCAAGCGGCATTTTACCACAAAGCTCAACAAGAAGGATGCCTGACAGGGGAGCGTTCACTCGGTGGTGACAAACAGCTTGGGCTGTCGGGGTGCTGCAGTGTTTTCCCCTGCACCCCAAGGAACACAGTCCTGATTCTGTTTTTACCACTGAGATCTACAAGATGTTTTTCACACTCATGAGCCAGTGCAGCTAAAAGCCATGCCCCTGTATGAGGCTCCAGGTTGAAGGCTGGTTGGCTACTCACGTGCAGGCAGACAAGGGCTAGGTATGCCCACACTTCAGCATTCTTGTTATTCAGGGCGTTTGCTTCCGCAAGAGCATCCTCTGCTTCTGCCATCTCTTCCAGCTTGAGAGAGGGAGAGGTGTGAAGACGAGGCAAATTGCAGACAGAAAATCTTTCAGAATTTATCAAGCACCTACTTGACAGCCAAAGAAATCAATGCAATAAAAGCATCTAGCAGGATTCCTGGCACTGAGTTGTTCTGGGCTGCCCGTGACAGGGATGGAAGGAAAGGATTTTGAGTGGAGAAAAGTGTGTTCAATGCCTGTGTCCAGCTCTCAAGCTTTTTACCACTAACTCCCAACCCCTGGGGCAGAGTCCACCTCACAAGTCAGCAGCAACTCCTTCACCCCGACCTCTGGGTACCACCATGGTGCTCAGTGGGGAGCTCTCATCACCTGCTCGTGTGAGAGCACCATTTAAAACACCACTCCATTCCCAATCCCTCTTCCCACAAAGCTCCAGGAACTCCCTGGAGGCAGGGGTAGCTGGTGTCCTGCCTGCCTGCAAGCCCTGGGGATATATCCAGCTCAGGCTACATTTCAGACACCCCTGGTCTGGAGTCTGGAACCTTTCAGGGCTCTGGATTCCTTTGGCAGGGAACACACTGAGATTCCTCTCTGCTGACATTCTGCTCAATTCCTCTGTGGTGACATGCCAGTCACGTGCAGGCGGCACTGGGGACAAAGCCCAGGCCCAGGTTACACACTTGCCATGGCCTCCTGCTCTGCCAGGCCCAGCGAAGACATTGGGGAAGGGACAGAGCGCTGCTCTCAGGGCAGCTGCCATGGGTGAAAATCCTCTGACATCCGTGTGAGCAGCACAGAGACTGTGATAGCACATAGCACAGGATGGCCTTAAGGAGCTTTGGATTCACACATTAAGCTTTTCTTTAATAAAGGGGGTCATGCAGAAAGCAAGCCCTGAACCCCAGGACCCCCAGGGCCAGTTAGTGCAGACTACTTGAACGCTTTGGATCTTACACCATACCCTATAGCAGGCAATCTGCACTTACCCTATAGCAGGCAATTCCCACTCCCAGCCAGGTGAGGCAGGACGCAGAGTTCTTGCAGGCCAGCAGGTAGGTCTGCTTCGCCCTGCCGTACTGCCATGGAGAGAGCCATGGGTTTGCCGGCAGCGCAGGCATCGCGCCATAGCCAGCCCTCTTCTCGTCCATTCCCCGAATGTCCCATCTCTCCTCTCCCACTCCTGCTGGCTCCTCACCTCTTTCTCTTCTAGGTAGATGGAGCCCAGGCGCAGGTAGACGAAGTGCATCTCGGTGGCATCCACCACAAAGCTGACAGTCCGTTCATAGCACTGCTTTGCCTCCGCAAGGTCTCCCTTCAGGTAGCACAGGTGCCCCTTCTGAGCCCACACATTGGGATTCTGCACACAAAGCCAGGAGACATGGCTGAGAAACAAGAGGGCAAGAGATCTGCGGGAAGGGCGGGGACCTGTAATCAGCAAAAACGAAGAGCTGACAGATATTTGATTATAGAGGAGTGCATTTTATATACAGAATAAAAATCATCTTGGAGGGCTGTCTGCACAACATCAGTGACAGAGGCCACCTCTGGCTTTCCCTGCGTGGTATCCTCTCCTGTGCAAGGCTCCCTCAGTGTTGTGACTATGCAAATAGCATCAGAGCATCAGTTTTACAGCCCTCCGCGAAACCCATTCAACGTGACAGTCTTGAAAGCTACTTCCATTTGTACTAAATGGCAACTCTGCTTCTCATAAAAGCAAAGTTGACTCACCAACACAGGGGAAGAGGATCAGGAAATACATGTACAGAGGGAATAGAAAGGCAGCCGATGCACAGAGAGGAGCACTCAAATGCTGCATCTCCGTGGGGAAACGCAAACACTAAGCTAGGTAATGAGGAGGGCAGTGCTGCAGGCCACATCCTAATGTGTTTAATCAGCTACATTTACCCTTCCCTGGAAAAGGGCTGCAGACTAACATGAGAGTTTGCTCAAGTGGAAATGAAGCATGGGCTCTAGGTTCATGCTGCAGAAACAAAACAGGCAGAGTTTGCTGCAGTGTTTGACCGATCTCCTGCTTTTTACTGCACCATGTTAAGCCACAGAGCATTACCGTGTAGTCGAGTCTAACGGCCTCACAGAGACATTCTTCAGCTTTGGAGAAGTCTTCCTTCAGCAGGTATGTCTGGGCCAGCACCAGGTAGTAGTCACAACTGGGGCCTCCCTGGAGGCTCAGCAGCTCGTGGGCAAGCGCCATGTGAACAAACTGAGGAGGAGAGCACAGCGGCAGGGTCGGGAGAGCAGGCAGAGCACGGGCACCCTCAGGAGGTGCACACACACCCTGCACACACCTGCAGCATACACTTAGGAGCACTGCCTTGCACCTCTTTGACCTCCATGAGCAGGAAACAGGCAGGAGATTTTTTTTCTTCTCCTTTGGAAACTTTACCTCCTGTTGCTTTTATTTCTGTTTTGCTTTAAGCAGCTTTCCCTGCCATGTAAAATCAAGGCAGGCAGCATAATGTGGCAGTCAGAGAAATCCCACAGAGATCGCCGTGTGGGAAAGGGACATCCCACTTGTGACTTAAAAATTGCTCTGGCATATGCAAGTGTCTAAAATGAGAAAGGAGAACTGGTGTATGGAAAGCATCACAATAATGCATCTCATCTGCAAGTGTATAGAGAAGAGCACATCTGCAGGGACCTTATGCAGCTTGGTTGCTCTCCACAGCAAGCAGTGCTGAGCTGAGGCACAGCAAGAACTTCACCTGCCTGGGATGCCTGAGTCCCCAGGGAGCATTTTGGTCTGAATAATCTCCCTGGCTGCAGTTTTGTATTACTTGCCAGTGGTGCTTTTGCTCCCTCTTGCGCTTGGCATCTGCTGTGGGCACAGCTTGTTCTCTAAGCCCCAAAGAGGGCCCTTTGAAGCTCTTTTGTAATAACCAACCTCCTCCCTCTCCTCCACTCCATTTAGAACTCACCTGGATGGCATTGACTTTCATCAGGAAGTCCACTGTCTTCATGAAGATAGAGCAGGGAGGTCGTCTGAGCCCTGGAACAGGGGGTGGCGCTGCAAGAGAAGGTGTCACCATCAGCCAGTCTCCAACTGGTCACTGTGTTTCTGAAACCAGAGCCAGGAAGGAGACCCTGGGGGCCCTCAGACCTTCAGCATCACAGAAACTCAAGAGATGGCAGGGGAGGCTGAAATATAGATTAATTCACTGTTTCTTTCTGAAGAGCTTATGTTTTTGTAGGAGTCACAAAAGGAAACTACATTCTCATATTGCAAATTTTTCAGGCCAGACAGAGAAAGAAAACATTGGAATTTATAGCTGTAACTTGTTATATATAGCAAGGCCCATGCCTGATTAACCCAGTGCAGCAGAGACTGATTCACCCAGTCCCATCATCTCTTTGCCATCCATGGGGGAGCAGAGTTGGAGAGGAGGCAGAGCACACAGCAAATGATCGGAGGAGATTAATGGGAACAATTTTATAGATGGCATCTCAGAAGAGAGGCAGCAGAGGGAGGCAGCTAAGTGTCACATGGGGAGAAGTCAAAACAAGGCAGAAGGGAACCGCGGGATGAAGTCCGCACAGCTGCAGGCAGAGGTGAGCCCAGGCTGCCTGTTGGAGATGCATGTGAGTCCCCTCCTGCTGGGAGTCCAGTGGGACAGAGCAGCAGGAGCCCCACACCAGATACCGCGGCCACGCAGCTCCCGAAGGAGCACAGGGCAGCCCGGAGGGCAGGCCAGCTGCCTGGTCACAATGAGGTGTAGCGCTCCAAAAATCAGAATAAACCCCCTTTGCTGAAGATTCCCAAGACAAGGAGAGAGAACAATACTTGCTGTCTTGCCTTGGCATCAGGACTGCCACGGCTCTGTGCTCCCAAGTTACTCCCCCTGCCCACCATTGCTAGAGGGCCTCTCCCAGCACTGAGATCTTGTCCTTTCTTTACGAGGTCCCCAACACCCTAACCTTTTGGGGCTGACTCCTTGTTCTTAGACCTCCTGTTCTGCTGAGCAGTCGCATCCTCCTCGGGCACGATGGAGGTCAGGGAGGGCTCCCTGGCCTCTGGCAGCCTGCTGGCTGCGCTGTCTTCAGCCTCCTCTGCAATGAAACCGCACAATGAACATTAGGTGCAAAGAATACTCTGGCCAGTTTCCACTGGCCAGTTTGGAGCAGAATCCCACAGAAATGGGGAGAGAGATAAAATAGAAAAGAACCATCAGGTTTCCAGGACTGGAGTGATAAGACTTTGCAGGACACAAGTTGAGGGGATGAAGTTTGTGTACAAGAGACTGTGTGAAGCTAGGAACTATTGTAAGACAACATCTCTTTCCTTATACATACAACGGTACAAAAAAGGCATATGACATTGTAGGCCTGAGGTACTTGCTTTGAGTGGTGGTAGTGTGTTAAAAATAAAATCAGCTGGTATTTTGGTACAAAAAAGGCATATAACATTGTAGGCCTGAGATACTTGCTTTGAGTGGTGGTAGTGTTAAAAATAAAATCAGCTGGTATTTCCCATAGCCCGGCCAAATATTTAGGACTTGGGACAGAAAGTCCTGGTGCAAGGTAAGTCTGGGCTCAAATAAGCTCAAAAAATCCCTTCATTTCAGGGCCACTGTCAAGCTGCTGTTTTGCCCATTTCAAGTAGTTCAGACTGGGCTTTCTAAACTATATTGGGAACTCTAAGCAGCAGCTTTTATTAAAGCCAAACATGAATAACCACAAAGTACAACTGTCACAACAGCAGCTCTACCCTTCCGGAGCTGCAGAAAGGAAGCTTGTTTCTTCTGGTTGCCCTGGCTGCTGCCCACACACTGGTACGAGCGGCACTGGGCTGGGCCCAAAAGGTAGAAGCAAAGGCTGCTTCCTCTCTGGGTAGGATGAGACGTTGTGTGCTGCTTTCAGAGCACTTGACCATTTAAAACAGCACACTTGCTGCTTTCCTCTGCCTCTGATACCTAAGGCTCACAGTAAGCTCTTCTAGCTCTTGGTCCCCATCCTTCTTTACACTTCTCCACCCAGGTCCCACTATTCACCATCTGCCACGCTGGCAGCCCCTTCCTTGCCACTGCCAGGCTACCTGCTGGCTTTGCTAGGGATTACCTGGCAAGGGCTCTTCTGGACATGGATTGGGAGGCCTCCCGCTCTCAACAGAAATTCGCTTTTTCCTTCCTTCTCCCTCAGCAGCCCCAGGGATGCTCCTGTCCATGGTGAGCTGTGCCTGCATTAGCTTGTTAGCCTCACGGAAAGCCATTTCTGCCCTAATATTATTATTTTGCAGCTCATAGAACAGACCTATGGGAGAAAGAAAGAGCAACATGAGCAGAAATCATTCACTTACCCCTCAGATTAGATCAAGCGAAAGAGGAGCAGGGGAGTGAGCAGTGCTCAGCTATTCAAGAGTGCCTGGGGCACATAGACTGGCTTGCTTTTGTACCTGAAAGAGTCCAAACTACAACATCGAATGGCTGCAAGCTGGTGGCATCCTCAAAGAAAATCTCTGCCTCTTCATAATGCTGCAGCATGACTGCTACAATCCCACAGAGCAACAAGCTGGAGACAGGGTCCAAGAGGTTAGCTTGGTTCCAGCCAGTGACATGGGGGGACATCCCGCACTCTCACACATCAGGAGCACCCAGTACCTCTGAACGTGATGTGGGTCCAGGCGAAGAGCCTCCCGGAAACATTCCTGGGCTTTGATTGTTTCCTCGAGCAGAAGGCAGAATGCGCCATAGTCCAGCCAGGACTGGAGGTTGTGTTGGTCCCGAGCTATTCTCTGAACACAAAAGATTATTGCTGGAATGGGGACTCCCAAAAATCACACTCAGTAAGCACATATAACAGACCAACGAGGCAGTTCTGGAAAAGCCATTGCTTTCCTCTGGCCATCCTAGCTGTGTTTAGAAACAATGAAGTCCTTCTCTATCACATGCTAGGGTTTCCCTTGACTGGAATCATGCTTCACTTTAAGCCTCCTTCGAAGTCCTTCAGCTTCAGCTGACCTCCCTGCAGCCTCTTGGTAGACGGTCCAGTGTTCCCAGTGCTCACCCCGCATGCCTTCTGGACCAGCTCATCACATTTCCCCTAGCTTTGAGGCTGAAGTTCTCAGTGACCTGGCCAGCCTCTCTCTCTCTCTCTCTCAATCCTCCAGAGAGCAGCATTTGCCTAGAAAATCTCTCAAACCGAGCAGGAGCATCCCTATCACATTCACCTCTCCTCTGTACGCAACATATGCGGGTGGCTCATGAGCCCCTGATCTGCCAGCAGCTGGGCCCCATGGCACTGTGGTGGGCTGCTTGCTGCCAGCCTGGGCACATGGGAGAAGGGCAGGAAAGAGCAGAGGCTGCTTCACCTGCTGATGGTAGAGAGATGCCAGCTTGTAGTCCTTGCTGACTTCAGCTTCGTGAGCAAATAGCCAGAGTTGCTCATCGGTTGCGCAGGATGGAGGGGCAGGCTCAGCAGCTTCCTCGGAGAGTACCTGGAAAGGGGTGAGAGAGTGAGTGAGTGCTGGCGAGGGTGAGGAAGGTTACTGTGCTAACACTACAGCAGCAGTCCTGATCCTGCACTGTGCAGAGAATGCTCTGGTGTGCCCAGCCTGGGGAGGTTGGAAAGTCAACCTGTCCCAGCTGCTGCCTGTGTCGGGACGGTCTTGCAGTTTGGTGAACATGTGTCATTCCCAGCTATCCCTGTCACACAAGGAAGGGGCATACCTGTTATCTGCAGGAGCGCCTGTGACGAGTACAAGCATCTCTATATCAAAAACATTTCAAACTTCCTTCCTGGTGTCACTTACTGGTGACCACAATTCACGCTGGGAGGTCTGTCCTCTACCTGTGTGATTGTGCTGGATAGCACAGGCCCAGACACTCCTACTGTGGCAGTCAGCTACAGCAGCTTTCACTAGAGGCACAGCACATGTATCTAGCATCCAGGTTATATAGCAATAGGATACAGATTCACCAAACCCTGCTGCTTAGCTATGGGCCTCTGGGAGCGGCTCAGGCAAGTGCAGCAGAGGGAAGCATGACCCTGCTTCTATCTTGAAAGCAAAAGTCTTGCTGTCTTCGTCTGAAGGAGGGGCAAGCCCTGGCTCCACAACGAAGCCATGATGCCCCAGGTCACCCATCCCACCCGTCACGATTTCTGCCTACCTGGTTCAAGGCAACGTGCATCTGATCCACAAGATAGACATAGAGTTCACTGAGAAACGCCTGGAACTGCTCCATAGACTCAAACGCTGTTGTTTTCAGGTACTTCTCCCTCACGATCTTCACCACCGCATACTGCAGACACACAGCTGTTGGACAAGGCAGGTCTCCCCTGCCTCCCCCAGCAGCTCTGCAATCACAGTAACACAGAGCCAGAATAAAACGGATTCAGCCTGAAGCTCCAGTTTAGCTCTAAGGAAGAAATTCAGTCCGGGACCAGTGGAAGGAAGAAAAGCAAACAGAGGTGAATTCCCTTCCTGCCTCTCAGTCCTACCTCTCCCAACTACAACAGCTCTGGATAGGCAACAGGGATTTGGGAATAACCTGGCACTTGTTGTACCACCACAGAGCAGCAGTTCCTCACTGAGAAACTGCCAGGACAGGAGCAGGTAGGGAAATAAATCAATACACGGAACCCTTGCCTTCAGCTGTTCCTTATAGGCAAAATATTTTCCTGAGCTATTGAGCTCAAAGTTGAGTTGACACTTCTGTTCCTCCAGGGTTTGCTGATTTATGGCTCCTTGGTCAGGCAGCTGCTTCCCGAATAGCTCATGGTATTCGCTCAGGATGGCAACAGCAATGTTTGCGATCTGGTTGTGATAATCTTCTACAGCCTAGAACATCGGAATCCACAGTAAAAATAAAGTAAGAAAACATCACAAGTTACTTGTGCCATCAATCTTGAAATGTATTTTATTTGCCAGAGCCTACACCTTACATAAACTCCACCTGACTCAGTCTCAATTAGTCTGTCACATATTCTTTTCTTTCCATGCCTGAGGGCTATGAAAATATCTACATGTAAATACAAGAGAGCTCCTTTATAATTAGACTTTGCTTCTGCTACATTTTTCAGTCAGAATGCAGTATTTCAGTCATCGTCTCTTTTATAGCATCGTAATTGGCCATAAGTAAAATATATCTCGTATGGTGGGAGCCCTTTAAACTCATGGGCCAGTGCTCTTTGGCAGATTCTGTAACCTCCATAATCTCAGTGACAAAAGCTTCCATGTACAGAAATGATCAAAATGTATCTCTCCCCACACCCCAGACAGTCCAGCACAAATCAATTCTGCAGCAGTTCTGGGGTCAATTATTTAAGTACTGTTTCTTCCTCTACTGCTATTCTAAAATGACCATTGGCTGGGGCTATCCTAGGACATTCTCCTGTGATAGCTGCTCCATGCCTAGAAAAATGAGCCAGTGCTCTCAGGCCATTTTCTGGAGTCAGTATATTGCACACACGAAAGTCCTCAAGAATTCTCAGTTACTTGAGGGAGGCCAAGGATTGACTCTGTTCCTGTTCATCTGGGTCTGGAGAAGCATGTGTCTTGAGACGAAAATGACTGGGACTGTCCAGGGGTAAATACAAAGCTCTGTCAGCCTCTTTCTCCAACATCCAACTCCAAACACTCCCATACTATTCCTCTCTTCTCTGCCTCTCCTAGATCTCTCCTTCTTGTATGGGCTGTGAATAGGGGTAACACAACCCATGAATGGTTTTCCAAGGCATGATATTGTGAAGATAACATATCCAGAAGGGTTCTTGCCTGTGTGACTCCTCTACAAATCCCATCTGTGCATCACTGGGGAGATCAGACTGAAAATGAAGCTCTCCTGTGCGAGAGGGATGAGGCACAGCAAGATGGCAGTGGTGAGTGGCAGCGTGGTGACAAGGCACGTACCTTCTCGGCTCCTGCAGTCCGGCGAGGCAGCGGAGGGCGAGGAGGAATCATCTCCTTGACCCTGTCAGTGAGAGGAAAGAGGAAACTGGTGTAAGACACTGCCAGCGACGGTCACTTGTCTTGGGCACAGACAGCCTGCGGTGCAAGGGCTCCTCACCATATTCCTGAGATACCTCGCAGGGACAAACAAGGGGAAAAATCGTGAAGTTTCAGACCAAGAATGAGCTCAAGCCCAGGGTGCCTACAGTCAATCCTTGCAGCTCATCATAACGTCTTGGCAGACAGTGGACTTTAGATCAGGTCCTCAGTTGGTCTCCGAGCAGGTGGATCACTGTACAGTCATGTTTGTGTCCTGTGGAGCCCTGAGTGTCAGCCCCAGAGCTGCAGCCTGTCTTTACGCACCGTCTGGTGAGCTCCTCTGGCAATCGTTTTGGTACTAAGGCCTTCTCCAGCTTTATCTCCATCACCAGGAATGTTCCTGCTTCAAAATATTGCTGTGAAGATAAATTTGAGATTGCTCTCTCAAAATCTTACCATCTAGAGCCATTAATGGCATGACAAAAGACTGAGCATTAAGCTACAGATCTTCAGCAAATCCCTTTGAAACTGTATACAGCTTGTTTTGTAACCTGCCCTCAAAGTGATTTACAGTAGCAAAATACAGTTCAAGAAATCAGTCGAGGAAAACATCAGAGGCCATACAGTTAATCTCCTTGAAGGATGCATAAGCATCTTAGATGATTTTAGGAAGAATCTGAAATAGGAAGGAATTCTTATAAATGAGTGCCTGATTATTCATTAGAGACCTTCTAGCCCAATGCTCCTGCCAGATGTCACTGGAGGAACTCCAGGATAGCATCTGTGTAAGATGTCCCTTGTCCAGCTCACTGGCACAGAGGTTAGTTATGTAAAAGATGAGACACTCGCACAGTGATGGTTCTTTCCATATCTTAGAGATACCTGTCCATTGTGGTTGAGATATATGACATTTTCAGCTTCTACCGGAACATCTGATGACTGGGTTTTTACTACGCCGGACATCTATTAAGGAAAAAGAGATGTCAGTTGTTCCCATACAATCTACCTCATGCCTTCAGAAACACAAGATGTGATCTGGGGTGGAGTTACACGTCTTTAAACCCAGTAGTTGTATAACTGCTGACTGCTTGCAGTGTAACACATTAGCAAGTCGTGGGTCTGAAGCAGCAGAGCCGTGCTCCATGCTGCACGTTTGTTCAGGCAGCACGTGCTGCAATTTCAAGATGATGAATCTCTTTGCTGGCTGAGGCAGGGTACAGTTAATCGAGAATTATCTTGAGACACTGACCTCCAGAAAACAGGTCTGTAAGCCTCATTCCGTATCATGGATCTCCACTTTGCAAAGCAGCTGAGCTGCAAAGACTGACCCTGGGCCCCAGTGGTTCTATCCCCTACAGCTCTATAGCTCTTGGGGTTTTCCCTGGGTCTGGAATGTGTCTCCCCTAGACAGCAGTGGCTCCGGAGTGCGGCTCTGGGAAGGAGCTGCCACTGCTATCTGAAGCTGGACTGCTCCAGCAAGAAGCACACAGCCTCCTTTCTTATTCCCAGAGGGTGGGAGAGACTGTCCAGCCTGGCTGCCACAACTTCCATCACGCACTGAGGTCTCCTCACCAACTGCAGAGCAGTCTTCTCCAAATGCAGTGTCGATGCCCTGTGCCCCCTGCTTTTTGCATTTCCCCCCCGCTGTTTCTGAAGTCAGCAAATGGGCTGTGCCTCTCTGGACCTTACCTTCCTGATGGCTTCCCTATCTTTGATGATTTTTTCTTTATCCTCCCTCTGTATCTTACTGGAAATAGCTCTGGAAAGGGGAGGACTGAGTCCTGGAGTCCATTGTCCTTCCTTGATTAGACTGATCTGAGGCTTCAGATCCCGGAAAACACTGACCTGACTTTTAGTCTGGGGAAAAAAAAAGAAAAAGAAAATCAGAGAATCAAGGGACAAACTGGGCTTCCCCAACCTTTTGCTTTAACCTCTCCCATTGCAAAGCACATTGACAGATTCTATAGGTGCTAAGCTCTGCAGCCTCTTCCTTCCTTCCTAAGGGTTTAGCTGCCTGTGCTCAATGCCAGCTCTGATACATGCAGCTGTGCAACCTCATATTAGACTGCTATGAAGAGAGCTGCATGAGAAAGCCTCCGTAGGGGCTTCCCTGTTTTCTTTTGAGAACTGCATTCAAATCAAGGTGCTTGCCCTCAATTCTTGCCTGAGCTTTGTGGCAGATATGCTAGTGCTATGTACTGCCCTGGTCCTAATCCATTGGCTTGATTTCCTGGCTTCATCTTGCACCTGCCTCATCCCCATGAACTTGCCCAGTGATCTCGACTGTTAAATCAACCTGACTGCTCCTCGTTGGTGAAGTCACTGCCCTACAGTGAACCTTGGCTCACCTTCCCTTGTGGAACAGTTTCCCTGACGCACATCAGGGAATCACGTGGAACTGGCTTTTTGGAAGTTGTGTTTACACACTGCTTGACCACCAAGACAGGCTGCTGCCTCCCAGCTGTTAGTGCAGTAAGAGCTGGGCTGGTAGGAGCTGAGGGAACCCTGGTGAGAGAATGGAGCACTTGTACCAGGTGCTGTCCAGACCAAGGAGCAGCTCAAAGCCTCCAGAAACGCAGGAGACGAGAACGTGTGAATACACCCCGTGACAAATGCGAGAGGACAAGCAGTACCGTGCAGCCAACTGGCTGTTGTTTGCAGATGGGATGTTGTGAAGCAGACACCAGAGTACAGCTAGGTGCCCTGCCTTTCACCAGCCGGCACCCAGCAGTGACATGGGTGCAAGGAGAAGGGCTGCAATTCACTCAACTTCTGCAGACTGGACGCAGCCCCGAGGGTGAAGTGGGCAGTGAAACCAGCCCGTGTATCTGCCCTCCTGAAACTAGCTCAGATCTGCTCTGGGAGTACTGTGGGAAAACAGAGACGTAACTCTCACTTTTAGTAACATGGGGGGAGCAACAAAAAGACAAATAAACCTCCATGAGCTCCAGCTGAAAGAGCTCCAGTGACAGCTTTTTTGGTCGTTGCCTGGGGTAACGCTATCATTTTGGAGACAGTGTACGCTGTTTGTTCTTCTCAGCAGCACAGCTCATTTGCCCATGTTCGCAACTGGGGAGCGAGGAGCGTTCTTACCACTCTCACTGCTCAGCTGCTGCCAGGGAAAAGAGTGAAGCCAGACTCAGAGCTCCCCCTCAGCCCCCAAACCTGCTCTCTCACAGCTTCTACTTGGAAACACCCTGCCTTCGAGAAGCTTGAGCCTAAAAGCTTGCGTTATTTTGTCTTCTCCATCAGGAGAAGGGCAGAGAAGTCTCAGAGGCAGCTGCTGAGTGGGGCACAGACCAACTGTGCCCAACTCCAGGCAGCAGAGGTGGCACGGAGCCTGGCCTGCACTCACCTTCTCAAACACCTCGCTGTCTTTATAGGCAAAGACACGAAAAGCCCCTCGTATCCGCTTCACACCGGGGTAGAGCAAAGGCACCATGTTGATATATGCCACACCATGGAAGAAAATCTGTCCATCGTCATCTCCCTGGAAACGCAGAGCAAGGGACAGAGTTACTGAACTGACTGCTACTCTCTTGAAGCAAACAAGGTCACTGATCCCATTAAGTAAAGGCCACACAGCAAACTGATGCACCTGATGAGCCAGTGGCTCTGTGTCACTGGCACAGAGCCGAGACAGCCTGGAAGAAAAAAAAACGGAGTCATTCTATATGCAGAATCCAAATTTTACTCCCATCTCTGCAGGGCCCACACTACAGTGTGCCACAGCCCAGGACGGTCCTTTCAAGATATACCTGCTAATTTATTGACTTCTAGGTAAGAAATCCAAACAACCCTCCTGGAATTGTGAGCATTTCAGGTCTGTGAGAAATCAGGTACCTAATGAGGTCTGAGACTCTGGGCCAGCACTGGGCTGCTGAGGGTAAGTGAGGAGGAACTATGGACACATATACTGCAAAATCTGGGCACCGCTGAGGGCTGAACGTGATTTACACTAATCAGGGTGATGTTGCACTGGAATAGACTAGGACCATGGTCAACCACAAGGAACAGAACCATTAGCTAAGGAGCTACTTCTTAGTCGAAGCACCCCAGTTTAAGTGGAAGAGCATAACGTATTTGCATCCAGAGTAAGAGGGCATGCATTTCTTCAAGATACTTGAAATCCCCTTTAGATAAGCTCAGCAAACTAATCCAGCTCTCCAAAAGCACCTCCTCCCTGGCCCCTTTCACCAAGCTACTTCAGACCATTATCAAGAGATTGGCATGCTGTAAGAAAAAATATTTTCTTTGTTTATTTAACAGCGCTATAAAGCTGATTACTCAATGAAGCCACTAGCCCTCTGACTCCCTTTGGCCAGCTCAAAGCTGGCTGAGGTATAATATAGACATTAAAGGAATGCATGATAATACAATACTTCCCCAGTAGCCAGAACAATGTATCACTCCTCACTTTTACCTTGTCAACTTTGCTGTTCTTCCCTTTACTGGGAGGGACCAAAGGCACCCTGCAGACCTCCACGGGCCAGTAGCGGCACTCTGCGATGCGCTTCTGCAGGCTGAACACAGGAGAGGGCACTGAGGAGCGGCACAAACCAAGCAAGAGAGCTCTCCCTCACTAGCCACACTGCCCTTGGTTCTGCTCTGTGCAGCCCAGTGCAGGCTCTCACCCTCTGCCATGTGAGAACGTGAGTACCCTTGGGCATCCAAGCATCTGCACTTTGCAGCAGGGCTCCTGTCTGGCACATTTTCCCCTCCATCTAGTGCTGTGTGAATTTATGGCACTAACAGCTATAAAACAATGGTGAGGGCAACACCACTGGATTTTCTCCCTCGTCTGGTTACTTCAGAAATGAAGCAAATATAATGGAACATGATTAACATTGGTATAAATCCTGAATTACACAGAGGAAGGAGACCCTGAGCTCCCATTCAATGTGCCTAATAACTCTGAAACTGGCAGGCAAGCTGACAAAAGTGTTAAGGAAAAAAAAATTCAAAACAGATAGAAGGGAATATTTCCACACATTAGAAGTAATTTGGCTGTGAAAGTCATGGCCACAGGATGCGGCGAAGGCCAGGAACATGGCAGGCTTCAAAGAGAAATGGGGTATTTATCCCAGACTCAAGACTATCTGGAGCCATAATAGGTAATGCTTGTCCAATTAAAAAAAAAGAAAAATCAAAAACAAATGATAGAGTGAGACGGTTTTAATATATTGGCCATTTAGCAAAACTCAAGTGGGAGTTAGGAGGAGAGCTGTTTGGGCCACCCTACTCCACGTCTGCTGACAATATCCCTGCTGCCCCATCCTTCAAACCTGTATATTACAGTCCTGAAGAGGGGTGAGTAGGAACAAGATTAGTCACAAAGAGCATCATTTCCCAGTGTGGCAGAGGGAGCTGCTGCCAGCAATGAGAGGCAGTTAGCTGCTTTTTTTGCTCAGGTAAATACCTGCAGCAAGCAGATACTTGGAGACAAGGCAGAGCCACGGTTTGACCATGTAAGAGGTCTGAGAACATCAGCATGTCACCATTAAGACAAGTCACTAGACTAAGTGAATTCTAGGGTGGCTTTTCCCCACTGCTCAGTGTTGGAAGGGAGGTTTTCAGCTCTCTTACACAAGTACTGCAGCAGGATCCAAGTAGCAGCGTCTTTCTGTGTCCCATACGATTCTCTTCTTCATGCTTTCTGACTGGACCCTGAACTCTCTGTCCTGTGAGAAACAGCACGTGGCAGAGCCAGGAGAGCAAACTCCAAAGTTTTCCTCCTCACCCCCCAACAGATTCTCCCTGGAAGAGAGCCTGGGGCAGACGGAGAGGCATCCAACTCACCATGCAAATGACATCCCAGCAGAGCAATGGACCGTGGTGCTACAGGGCAGCTGCTACATTAGCATTAAGAGCCAACTATGACACTATTAGTCCTTTCTCACCTCTCTTCTGTTGAGCTCTCCATCCTCTTCCTCATAAGGGCCACCGACAATGAAGGAGTTGGGTATGTTGAGAGCACCAGAGGCCATGATGTTGCCAAGTGGCCATTTTTTGGGCCGAGGTAATGGCTCTTTTTCGCCACCAAGCTTCGGGATTCCATTTTTGAAGATCAAGAGGATTTCTTTCTAGAGGGGCATAAGAGTGAAAGGACTTTCATTCTCAGCAGGAGCAAATGCCAGCTGCTCTGAGCTGGCTCCAACAAAGCAAAGCAGCAGTGCTGGGGCCTGGCTTGGAAAGAACCCCCCACCACATGCACACAGAGAGGTGAAGAGAAAAAAAGTAACAGCCACATGGAAAAATCCTGCTCATTTCAAGCCAAATCTTGACACAAGACACACAGACCTTCACAGAGAAGCACATTGCACCACAGAGACCATGAGCAATCACAGCAGACACTGCTGTAGCACCAGCACAGGAACAGCTGTGCACTCCCATGGACCTGGTCACTCATTCCAGGCTGCGCATATGGGATACTCACCACACCTGGACCAATTCTCACCTCTCCAACCGCTGGCATTTGCAGGCAAGCCAGGTAGTTTTGCAGGGGTCCAGTGGGAACAAACGCTTCGGGGACAGAATAAGCTGCCTCCAAGGTGACACTCAGGAGATTACCATTTAAAAGCTGAGCTGCAGAAAGCAAGGGCTCTTGGATGCACACAGACACTTCAAGGCCACACTGCAAGACAAGGATAAACTAGAGGCACTAGCCAGACAATTATAATTCTCTTCCTCTTGAGGGAGAAGTAAGCAGAAAACCAAGGCCAGGATGCATAATAGTATCTTATTCGTCTCTTCAGATAGAAAAGAAGACAGACCAACACAGGAAACAAATCTCATGATCCGTCTGTCATGTCTGACTTGTGCTACTTGTTTAAAGCAGAAGCTGCTCAGGGCACAGGATACAGACAAGCAGGGTTTAATGAAACGAGCCATGGTGAGAGCGTGGGGATGAACTCCTCCCGATGCAGAGCTGCAGGCACCTGCGCCCTGCCCTTTCGCCACACATTGTGGACAGGCTTTAATTACTGTCCCAACCCTAGAGGGATGCATGACTTGCAATAAAAAAACAGCTGTTCAGCATTTATTATCTTCCCTCCTTAATGGGCAGGCTCTTGCCCTTACTTATCAGGTAACATCTCTTAAATGCCGAAAAGTCAACGCAATATCCACAATCCAATCCACCTGTGGTGCCACTGCAAAATTAGATACATTTCCCCAGCCTCATACTTCATTCACTGTTTTATTCACCGAGTATTTCTCAGCTTGCTGAATGAGTGAGGACCTTGCAGGAATAGCAGTAAAAAATGTGTAATAACAGACTCTGAGACATTTCATCCACAGAAGGGAAGACTAATGAAGGTGGGCAGGCAATCCTGCCTTTGCCTTTTACTGATTTTTCAGCACTATACTTTGGCTCTTGAATGTTTTTTTTCCAGAGCAGTTTGGGAGCTGCACACATTAGCATTTCCTAACTCTACCTCAGCTATCATAAGCAACCTGGGACAGACGTCAATGGGAGTCGGAAAGGCCCCAAGCTTTTAATATATAGGGCCACAACATATACACGATGTGCTAGGTGGCTGAGTCACACTCGCCTTCCCATTAAAGAGCGGCCTGGAGATGAATGAGAGAAGGAACACTTCCAAATTCCACATACCTTGGCCTCTGGGGAAACGCTCTCTAATGGAGAGGTAGGCACCGCATACAAAGGAGCCGAGACCTTAAATGAACACTGTCCTGGGAAGAAAGAAGAACGCGAACAGCATAAAACGAGACCCCTTGTCAAGAAATCAGGGCCTAGCTCCTGAAGTTGAGTTGCTAGTGTCATCCTCTTTCCCCAAAGGGCCAACTTTTTGCAGACAGTAAGAAGCCCATTTGTCAACAGAAGGTAAAGTACAGCAAGGTATCAGTATGGAAGGATCCAGAGCAGCGAGCGACCATGGAGACTTCTGGAAGTCTACACTGTACCTTGCAGCAGAGGTAGAAGGTCCACCACAGCTTGGCCAAGAGGCACTGTCCTCTCCTCCCTCTGCCTCTTCTCCTTTGGCAACACTTCCATCACTGTCACTGTGGAGAAAAATAGACGGGAGCTGGCAGAGCTGCTCGGCGAGTGTTGGGTCAGTGGTTAAGGGCAACGAGATGAGACGGGGGCTGCAGAGGGTCTGTGTCAACACTGGCAAACCCTCTTACTTCATCCCCCACGGCTGGCAGGGCGAGCAAAGATCAGGAGCCAGCATGAAAGGAGACGCTGGTGGCCAGCAGGGATGAGAACAGGGGTGTGGAGGCCCCCGTGCTACTCTTGAACGTGCGACTCCTGCGGCAGAGCAGAGCCGTTGGGAGCACGAGGAGGAAGAGGAGGAGGAAGCAGAGCCAGCGTCAGGCACTTACGGAGCACAGGACTCTGCGCGATGCTGTCCAGGGAGTTGGGCCCCTCGGGGCAGTACTCGAAGCTGGCTGTGAAGTTGTACTCCGCAGTGCCATCCGGCGAGACCTCCACCTTGGGGGACTCTCCCAGGAGCGCGCCGTTGAACTCGGCGCTCACCGCCGTGACCGGCGTGTCGCTCTTGCTGCCTTTCTGTCAAGCCCAGACAGCGCCGTGAGCAGCGGGGCGACAGCACAGGGCCCCCATCAAAGCTGTCCCGGGGGAGAGGGTTGGTTGTGGCCTAGGGGGTATACTAGGCACTTTGGCTGTTCCCTACAAAGATGGGGAAGCTGAAGCCTTGCCAAGGGCTCACCCCTCCCTGTCCTTGGGAGGGAACCGTTCCACTCTGCCACGCTGCGATGCCCACGGTGTTGTTGACACCAGCTGGCATTAATAGAGATGGAGGGGTCAAATGCCTGCGTGCAGGTGAGGGGGAGCAGCGGGAGCCCAGCGCACCAGGCACGGGGCGCACGGCACGGGCAGCACCGGCACTGCCTCAGCGCTGCCAGCAAGTGCGGGGAGGAAACGGGTAGGGACAAGTGGCCCTGCACAAGAAACAGCTTCCCCTGCCCGGCCAGGGGGTGGCCAGCGCCCCGAGCATGAGGGCTGCCATGCTCAAGCCACGCTGGTCTTTAATCCCGGGCCACAGACATGCCTGGGTCTGTCCCTGAGCTTCCCATCTCCATTTCACCAGGGTAATCAATTCCATATTGACTTTTGCACAAAATGAGATTTCATTCACTTGGTTTTAATTTCCAGTCCCTTTGACTGTCTCCTTGAGCATATATTACATGAACAGCTAAATAGAAGAATTCAATTAACCTTTTCTCTCTCTCTCTCTCTCTCTCTCTCTCTCCTCTGTAACATTCATTATTCCACATTCCTCTCTCATCTTACATCTCCTTTAGCTAAATGGATTCCCACACTTCCTGTCCAAGGGTTTTTTTTTTTTTCCTTCATACTGCTGATCTTAGAGGACCTTTGTAGCCCTCTTCCTTTTTGCTACTGCCTTTCCTAAGATGGAGCAATAGGAGGCACATGCCCTATTCCAGGTGCAATCAGACCACCATCTACTGTTTTCAGTATCATTTTCCCTCTTGCTATCTTGTAATTCTCCTCTTAGGCGCTGTTTGCTGAATCTTTTGGTGCGAGAGGCACTCAAATACTACAATGTACAAATGTCAGAGAAACAGACAGATGGGTTTGGGGTTGCTTTTTTGACTGCTGCCAGAGCAGAAGCGGAGATTTGCATGTTTCTGTTTGCGGCAGCGGTGCCGCTTCTCCTCCGCATTGCCTCCTAAATGCCAGTTCCTCTTGATGTCTTTAAGAGCAGCCGAGCGCATCACGCGGCACATGGAAACCGTCACGCTCAGGTTTTGATCCAAACGCTTACTCCTACATTGTAGCAGCACTGAAGCTGCTGCCTTGCTAGAACCAGAGCTATCCTATAGATTCAATGCAATTTAAATGGCCGTTATGCGGATGGAAAGCTGGCTTTGTACCCAAGGACAATGACAGCTCTTTTAAGAGGCATCTGCCTTGCCGATATACGGTTTTGATTAGCCCTAAAAAGCCGCACAGCAAGGAAGATACAGGCAGAGCCGCGTTTCGGGGCAGCGCAACGTGGTGTCTCGGGGATGGGGAGCTGCAGCCCCGGCTCGGAGGGGTCCTCCGGCCCCGGTGTGTTCTCGCCCCGCTCCTTCCCGGGACAGAGACTCCTGTAACGGGGCCACAGCACCACGACCCGCATCCCAACACCACAGCGCCGCTTCCACGGGGCTTTACCAGGCCCTGCGCACTCCACACGGCCACCTGCACCGTCCGGCCGGGCACGGGCTGCGGCTCCACCGCAGAGGCGGGGGGGGCAGCGGGAGGGGAGC